TATGTATATGGAACTAGCCATTGGACAATACCATCGTCTCGGCTACTTAACCATTTGGAATAAAATCTGTCCACCACTGAAAGGAATTGGCTATTCAATGTTAATCATTAACTTCTATGTGTTATCATATTATAACACGATTATTGCGTGGTCAATTCATTATTGCATAGCATCTTTTCGTGCCGTTGTTCCATGGACATTCTGTAAAAACGATTGGAATACCGAGAATTGCTATTCGCTACATGGCGAACAGATTCTGAATATCACATCGAATACTTCAGCATCATCGGCTGATGAATACTTCGAACGGCGAATGTTAAAATCACATTTATCACCAAGCATAAATTCACTAGGTTCATTACAATGGGAACTAGTTGGATGTTCCATGCTGGTTTTTCTTCTTATTTATCTATCAATCTTCAAAGGAGTTAAAACAGCTGGAAAAGCTATTTGGTTCACTGCTTTAGTGCCCTATTTTGTATTGATCATTTTACTGTTTCGTTCGTTAACATTGGATGGAATATTCGAAGGTTTGAAATATTATGTTGCTCCATCCTTCGAACGGCTGAGCGAATATTCTGTTTGGCAAGCAGCTGCCGTTCAAATTTTCTTCAGTTTAGGGCCTGGTTTCGGTGTTTTACTTAGTTACGCTAGTTTTACCGATAAACATGATAGTGTTTCGAATACGGCTTTGACCGCCAGTTTAATTAATTGTTGTACAAGTTTACTATATGGAACAGTTGTTTTTGCTGGCCTGGGATATTTATCGTACCGGTTGAAAAGTGATGTACGACAATTTACTGAAAGTAATATGGGTCTGGTTTTTGTTGTTTATCCAGAGATTTTAACATCTATTCGCGGTGCACCTTTCTTTTCCGTCCTTTTCTTTATCATGCTTATAACATTAGGACTTGATAGTGTCTTCGCCGGTGCTGAAAGTGTTTATACAGCATTAGCGGATGAATTTCCCAAATTAGCGAGATGTCCTCGTATATCACGTGCATTCGTTGTCTTAATCCCATTCTTAGCATCGATTCCGACATTGACTCACGGTGGAAAATATGTTGTTCATTTCATGGATTTCTTCGGTACATCGCCCTCAATTATGTTCATTGTTTTGTGTGAGCTTGTGGCCACGGTATGGCTATATGGAATCGATCGATTCAATCAAGATGTGGAAACTATGACTGGACGAAAACCAAGTATCTACTGGCGTATTACATGTCGCTATATCGCTCCAGGGATACTTCTCGTACTCTATGTTTGTTCATTTATTCAATTCGATAGTCAAGAGTTTCTCTCGTTTGGCGGTCACAAGACAGCTGTAAAAGTTAGCGTTGCAGGCTGGATAATGAGTACTATTTCGACATTACCCATACCAGTTTATGCGATCTGGTGGTTTATTTTTCGACGAGAAAAGAAAATATCTCAACAAACAACAGCAGCAACAATTATTGGATAGAAAGTGACTTTTCAATATGGAACTGATTTGACTAATCTCATAGAAATACACAAAACGAAACGCATATGTATCTATAACTGCCTGTTTTAGTGGATAGTACTTCTCGCTCTTTTTTTGTGTGTTATATGTGTAGTTTTTTTCTTTTTTACAAAGAAAAAACAAGTAGAAAAAAAAACGTGCCTTCAATGACTCGTACAATTCTGACGAATAGATCGAATCGATTCACAATTTTTTCATTGATATTGAGAAACAAATCACCTGGGCACCAACATGTTTCTCAACCTTCAGCGTTTTTCCTTGATAGAACTTGAGTAGTTCACAGGTACCTGAAACAAGAGAATACCTTGTTCACTATTGATTCAAGATACGCACCAAGGTTGCAGTAACGCACCCTACAGTAAGTAATACTTGTTTTCGAAAAGAAAATTATCAATTCTATGTTTCTACGTGTATTACATCATTGCGATCTGCAGAGATGATTAACTATTTGTACTGTGCTTAGCACCAAATCATTTATTATGATTCATGGTTATGTACCATGTACATGTAGGAAAAATAAACATTGTACGGTTCGTTAGATATGTTCGAAGAGTAAATAATGTTGAAGGAAAACGGGTAAATCAAGTTTTTTGACAGCGCGATCGATCGGCAGTTTCAATGGTGATTTGAAAATTTCGTCTCGAATTTGTTTTCGTACGAGATTTCTCAACGACGATGGTGTTGTCGCACGTCTCAAGATCTCCTTCTTAGTTATCTCATCCAATTCTGTACATTCAGCCAAGTAACTTGGATGAAAATAGTAAGCTGCATCACAAAGAAGTTCAATCAAATTTGTCTTCGATTGCAAACGACGTAAAAATCGAAGAACGCTATCTAAAAGACGAAACAAAGCAGTAGAGCTCTTTCTGTGTGATTTTGTTCAAACCTCGTCCGCGAGAAAACGAGACTCGAGCACCGTAACCAATCAATAAGCGAATAATACGCATATCTAATCGTCGTTCATGTGCGTGCTTGATATAAGCAACTAACGGCGTTCGAATAAGAATATGTTGATGATGATGTTGAGGACTGTTTGACACTGATTGATTCGGTTGAGCTTCATTCTCCAGAAGACATTTCACAATTTCATATTGATTTTTTAAATATGAACATTGACAAGCAAGAATCAATGGAGTCGTACATTCGACATCTTCATTGGTTTCTTCGTTTGTATCAGCACCAAATGCTAAAAGATGTATAGACTTACAAACTGTGGAGAGAACTTCTTCACTAACTTACCGATTAAAAGTCGGACGATGTCAATATTGTCCTTTCGAATCGCCAATTCCAATGGTGAATTGGACAAATCAGGGTGTTTATTAGCAAAACCACCGAATGTTAACAACTGTTCAACAATATCGCTTTGTTTGGATTCGATCGCTGTAACCAAAGCATTTCGTTGTCGAAATTTTCTTGTCACATAATTGACATTCGCTCCATAACGACAAAGTAAAACAACCGCACCTAGATTTCCTTCCCGACATGCTTTTATCAACGGTGTTATTCCACTGCGTGAAAGAGCATTTGGGTTCGCACCATGACGAAGAATTAGTTCCAAAGCACTATGGTTTTCATAGGGTAACAAATTAATCTCATAACCGAGAAAATATTTTTGATTGACTTCTGCACCCGAACAAAGAAGTAAACGTGCGCATTCGATATGATTGTTTTCCAAAGCAAGACTCAACGGTTCAGTCATAACATCATAATATGGTGCAACTAATAAACCCGTTTGACTGTTCGTTGCAGCTGCTGCTTGAAAATTCGTCAATGAACCATGATCGATCAATAAATGCATGACATCAAGGAAACCATATTTAGCAGCTAAATGCAATGGTGAATAACCCGCTTCGTCCAAGACGTTCACATCGGCATTATAGTCTTCAATTAAGAGTCGAACACATTCGAAATCGTTTTCAAACACGGCATAATGCAATGGCCGAAGACCACGTCGAACGCATCCATTAATATCTACATATTTACAACTGCAGATAAACAAAAAAGATCGTATTTCATCGTTCCGTAAAAGATCATAAAGCACTTCTACCTTAGAATAAGTTTAATATCATTGAGAGATGAATGTTGAACAATAGCGTCGCGAAGAAGTAGCAATAATGAATCATCATCCACATTGCTACTATCCGTCATTTTCGACCCCGTGAGAGAGATGATTTGATTACTGTCTTATTTTTGTTTTCTTACATCATCTTATTCTTTATTTCCAGTATTTATACGTACAAATTTGCACTAGTCTTTGACCCGATATCTTTTCTTTACTTTCCTCTCGAGTCCTCGAAGATCATCTGATATTTCCTTGTGCTTTCTTTGCGTCGATGTTGTAAATAACGAGGAAATGTACGTAATAACCGATTACTCAGCTTCAGTCATTCATGTTGTTACTTATTGGCGTAGATATCTTTCTTTCCTGTTTTTGGCGCCTTGTGACATATGACAGCATCTAATATACGCATAAAGATCTGTCACATGTACCCATATTAACTTTCATATCATCTTGTTTTATATGAGCAATGTCCGAGCTGAATGTTCATTGAACTCAATAATCAATTATATTCTTATTCATTATATATGATCAATAGAGAAGGACAAATCAACGAGACTATTATTATGATGATCGGTCAAGCAATTGGAAAAGATTGTGTGACCGACACGTATTCACACACATCTGTGTATTTCACTGTAATGAGAAAGGAATTATGTCGGTCAACTCGACCTCCTTATGTGGATAGAGAAACAATGTACATGGTCAATAATAATGTCGGTCATAACTAAGGAGAAAAGAAAACAACGGCTGTACTAAATTAGAATATAGAAAGTTGATTGGTACTGAATTGTAAAGAAAAGAATAAATGAAATGGAAAATTTATTTTTTCTACAATTAAATTTTCAGAATAAGATTGATGTGATTTAAATAACTGGCGATAAAAATTGAAGATTTCTTTTCGGGTCACATTAACCTATTTCTCTTTTTCCTGAATTCGCACTTGAACGAAAGAAGAAGGTCATCAACGATCGCGCTGTCGGTCATCCATTTGATAATTTTTTCTTCGTTCTCTCTTCTCGTTCAACTCATATACGCACAAGTACGTTTTATCATGGATATGATAGAAAAGAGCACAACTAATCTATGCATGCGGCTAAGGTCAATGGGCAATGTCCGATGAGAATGTTGTGTATGTCGATGCTCATAAGAGAGGAAGAAACGACATAAGAACATAACGGTCAAACAGAAGAGGGTCAGCTTGACCTAACTTGTACTGACCGCAGACATTTGTACACAAATGCATCTCATTACTGGATGCCCTAAATAAAAAAAAAAGAAAGAAAACGAGTGAATTAGGGCAACGAGAGAAAAAGAGAAATAGAGAGATCTATAGAAGTAAAAGATAGAAAGAAGTAAAGGTCAGTTTCGTGCCCGAGTCCGACGCGAACAGACGTATACCATCATCAACAACAATACTGTTAGTATTCGAGAAAAGTCATGACGACTAGCATTCAGGTTTGTTACTTAGTATTGGTTCGGAGTAAGACTTCAATTGATTTTGTTACAATAGAAAATGCAAACGAGCGATCTTCTTCGTTCATCAACATCTCCACTTGTACGTGCACCTCATTTAATTGCTAACGATTTACAATCTCAATTGAACATGCTCTATGCTCTGACTCAACAGCAAATTTCATCTTCATCATCTCCTTCAGACATGACAATGGAATCACAAATCAAACGTATCAAGTATGTTCTTTCGATGCATCTTCTTTCTTTTTTTCACTTTTCAACTTTGTAGAAAAACGATGCCAATGCCGAATGAACCTCCTTCACAAGTGCCAATGAGATCAGCAACAGATTCTCGATCAAGTTCGACAAGCGATCGTGAAATTGTCAAAGTTGTTACGACAGCTGGACCACAATCTGTAGATAAAGAATTTTTAACCCAACTATTACTGCGAAAAGATGTCATACCAGCAAGAAAACGTCGCGATTTCATTCCCAATGATATGAAAGATGATCACTATTGGGAACGACGACGAAAGAACAACTTAGCTGCCAAACGTTCACGTGAAAAACGCCGCCTCAATGATATTGTTCTAGGTAAATGATTTTTTTCTCGTCGTTTCATGCTATAATTTTGATTCTGTTGTTTCTTTCTCAATAGAAACCAAAGTTGTGGAATTATCGAATGAAAATGAAACATTGAAAGCCAAACTTCATCTGATGTTATCACGATTAAACATGAAAGAGACAGAAATGGAAAATTTATTCGAAGAGGAACAACGTCTTGGTCGTATCTGTCTCAAGCCAGCTACATCTGCATCAGCTCTTCTTCCTAGCCGTCCAGGTACGAGCGACGACGATGACTACTCGTCATCACGATCAACAAAGTCAAAAAATATTTCATCGTCCGAAACACACGATGATGACGGCGATGACAAAGAAGCAGCAACAACAGCATCAACGACAACTTTGGATGATAATGCATCTCATACACGTGTTCAACATCCACTACTTTACAGTCAATTACTAGGAAACAATGCAGTCGATTTAAGTCGATCTGAAGTCAAAACCGGCAATTTATTGACAACAATTCCGACCAAAAGTCCACCACCATTGACTCCATCTCCATCACCACCAAATGAGTCACTATTACAAATTCTTGCCAATCAAATTCTTAAAACCAAACAACCGGAAAATGCTACAGCATCACGTCTTTTGACAATCGCTTCGCCAACAGAATCCAAACCAAACATTTCTTCATTAAAACGAAATCTCGATCAATTCCAACAAGAAGATGAACAAAAACAAAAGTGGGATGAAGCAGCAATGACATTACTCTCATTAAACAAAGTCCCATCTTCATCTTCTGCTCAACCATCAGTACCTGTCGAACCTCAAACAGCCGCACTTCAATCTGTGTGCCAATCAGTTATCAATGGTCTTTTACGAAAGCCAAATCCTCCACGAGCAACCATTGACTATCACAGCAATCATCAACAAAAGATGCAAGGTGAAAATTTTCATCATCATCATCATCACCACCATCACCACCAACAACAACAAGACGACATTCATTCTCTGAGTCAATTGAAAACCTTAATGAATTACTTTTCAACATCATCAAACAATTCTCTTTCAATGCCGCTATTACAATCATCATCTACATGTGTTTCCGAACAAACCAATACTCATTCACAACAAACACATGAGCTCCGAGGTGATATGATGCCATTGAAATTACGCATGAAAATGTTGAATGCTAAAAGTTAAGAAAGGACGTATTTCAGAAGGGACAGGACGAAACTCGCAACAGTGAAACGAACAGTGTTCGTATTTATGCGATGAGCCAGGCTTATTATTTAGTAGAGGAGATGAAGGCGGCGAGGTGTGAGCAGAGACACACTCCGATTTAGGAGATGATTGTACAGAGTGAAGGCGCGCTGGACAGTGTGCGGTCGAAAGAACGCAGGCGAGGCCCTCCATTACAGTTCGGCGCTCACCGAGGCGGCCTGCACAGATCATATTTGTTAGCTATTAAACATCGAATAAGCAATTTTTGAGGAATGTACATTGTAGTTGTTGTATATTAGCATTTCAAATATGTGCCATAGAAAAACAAAAAAATAAGAAACTGAAAAATCAAAAAAAAGTATAAAATCCCAAAAAATCAAAAAAAAAATTGTTTTTATTTGTCCTTGTTGAAAAATTGTCTACACTTTTATATATTGTCCTAGTCCTCGTTCTTTTTTTGTGTTAGTTGTTTTTTGTGTGTGTTTGTCTTTTCTCTCTCTCTCTCACTTAATCAATGATGCATCGAAAATTTTTTCTGAGATATTGTTCGACGTGCTTTTTTCCTTGCTGATCATGAAATAAACTCTCTGATGCACTGATGAAAATAAGCTTTATTATTTGAATTCTATCATCAGATTATGACATAACATCAATATGCAAAACTCAATCGGAATCGAATAATACTTTTCTATTCGGTTTTAATCGATCCAAAAGAATCGAAGATTGGTTCACTGCTTTCTGTGCGAATTCATATTTCATTAGATTTGGTATAACTGCTGGCCATAAATACCATTTAATAATGAAATAGAGAATACCATAATATATTATACATTTAAATCCTCCAACTAAACATTGAGCACAAACCATTGACCATGTTTGTTCAGGTTCTCGACCGAAGACTTGATAATATCGAGCAGAATGTGGTCGGCGTCGACTATAGGAAAAATAAAGTACAGAACATCGCGCTTTCTTATGTGATTTAAGGAAGAAGAGTGAACGTACAAAATATTTAAATGCCACGTTACCATCGAGTTCTGTATCCGTTGACAATTTCTTTCAATGTGCTGTTTAACAACATTCTCTTTTCAAAATTCGGATTGTTTATTTTGTATTTAAAAAAAACCTGAACTTTTCTCTTTCCGTCCACACGTTTTTTAAATGCCGAAAAGAAAAAGTTTTCAAAACAAAGAAGCCTAATGACGAACGAACCTGTCTTAGTTTTCGTTGAAATTTCAAATGGAACTATTGCTGATGGGTTTTTCGACGGTAAAACAAATGTGATAAAGGTTTATATTGATGAACTAGACGAAATAAAATAAGTGAAGAGATAAATCCATGGTTGACAAATGGATTTATTACATCTGGTGAGATGAGAAATGTCATAATTAAATGTGTTGTACTTAAGACAATCAACATTTCCCGAAGGAAATAAAAGACGTTTATTTCAAAGAAATTCTTGTTTGAATGGTAGTGAGGATTTGGTAGGTGAATAATGATGAACAATGGAGTGAATAATCAGAAAAGCTGAAAATAAATCGATTAGGAAAGAAGCGAGAAAATGGATAAGTTGAATTATTGCATTGTAAAATTCGATCGAGATCGGATACTGAACAAAACATAAATTTCGTGGTTCATCTACGTCTTGTTCATCGATCAATTGACGCAAAATTGAATGATGAATATATGTTAGAACAATAATGAGCGATGAAATCGAGACGAGTCTTTTCGCCACTTTCTAATTTTGTTCTCGATCGAAAAGAACACCTCGAATAACGTTAATCCAGCGTTCGATTGCAAGAAAGGCGAATAACTATTCCTCATATTCTAAGAGACTCTGTAAAAGAACATCATTGAACAAGCAATTTGCGAACAATATCGAGCGATTTCGAATGTTTCCCATTTGAGAAAGAAGAGTATAGAAACATTTGATCAACAATAAGGTAACAATTAGTAAAGAAACAATTGATGATAGAAAAGATAATAACCATACCCAACTTCACGGCAGGTTTTTTTTTATTGAAAAGTTATCGTTGGCAATATCCTGTTAACTAATCCAACTGAAAAAATAAGTAAAGTAATTGCCATACTTACTTTCACGACTAACGGTTGATCATTCCAATGAAGATTGGATCTAATGATACCACATAACTTCGACTTGAATACTGACATTGATTGCCATAGAAACATTCTTCGCACACACATACTGCGCTTGTTGGACATGGTTGACTATTTTGAAAACAATGACCGTTATTTTCACAAAATCAATGATTTTAACAATCGCCATTGATGACACGATTGAACGTGAAACAGTTGACAAAACGATCGACATAAACGCACATCGTCGTAGGATTTGTTTACCATAAAAGAGGAGATATTCTGGCACGTGCATGCTGTAGTATTTCAAGCACAGTCCTGTTTATAAGTTCAGTAATATTGAAACAGCGTTGTTCAGACGCAATTCGACCTTCGATATTTTCTGATGAAAGAAATTTTTCTCGAAGAACACCTAAATAAAAACTTCGATTGGTTAATTGAACGAAAAGAATTTTGAATGGTTGAGAAATATCGATAGAGATGAAATCGAAACTAACTGGTATTTTCTTTAATGCTCTTCTTCGATCATATTTACTACCATAAAACCTACAAGTTATCCGCGCCATCTAAATATTTAGAAAATGAAAAAGGCCTTTTTCAACGTCTAAAGACGAACCTCTCGAGAACTCATGACGTTTCCACATATTACGAGAATAGTGAACAATGGTATTTACAAAAGGTAACACTTGATTCGAACGTCGATTGTACTACTGCAAGATAAAAGCATTGTAAAACTTTTATCGTAAAACAATAGATTTATGTTCTTTTAGTTAATAACAACGCTACATAGATATTTGTTGCTCTTTACTGTTACATCTTCTTCGACTAAGGTAAATTGGTTTCCTTTTAATAAACAATAATCTAAAAAAGTGCACACATGTACAGGAAATTACGTCGATATGTTTTCTATTACAGATCAGGATAAGAATATTTCTTTTGAACTGTACTTTCTTCTCCTGAATTCATGTGTTTTGTTGTAATTTCGAGAATAAATTTAAAAAAATAAGAACTAAAACTTGAAAATACACCGAGACCCGATGTGATTTTAATTTGATATATTTATAAGGCATTTGATATCAATACGAATCATTAGCAGTAAGGTCGTTTTAGTTTGATTTGAGTCTAGCTCATATGTATGGTAGAAATATGTGCAATCAAAAGTATATTCTCCTGAAAAATTAAGTTTATATCGAGATTTGCTTTTAGAATTTTCATTTGCCGTTCAACTCGAGCTGGACATGTACTGAACTATTTGCAATTAGTGTGACAAAAAGAATATATGTAGTTTGAAACAGTGGACGACAAATGGCAATCATCAATAGTGATAAATTTTCTTTTTGAAAATGTATGTCAGATGCAAGCCTTCGAAATCAGCTTCCGTAGCAAAGAACTTTGCAAACATTTGTATATAGTTTTCGGAAAGTTACTAAGAATCCTGAAACTAAATTTCTTGTTACAATCCAAGTTCAGACTCTCTTATCAAGCATATCAGTGTACTAATACTGTATACTGACATGTTCAAGGTCAATGACAGTCTGCCGTCTTTTACCTACAGTATGAAACGTTTTTCAATGTGTATATTCCGAATCTACGCGACCGGCATTAATGGTAAAGTGTTTACTAGATTGAACTGTGATGTAAAAAGCAAATAAATCAGAATAATACTAGGAAAACTCTCTCTGTTTCACATCGAAACTAATTCAAAGTGAACTAAAATGGTAAACGTCGAAAAGTATTTCAGCGCACTGTGTTTGTACATGCAGACAAGATATGATCGATCGTCGTAGCTCATTTAACATGACAGTTGATCGTTATTGACAATTTTTTTCGTTCTCTCATTTCGTTTTTTTTCTTCTCTCTTTTGAACACGAACAAAAGTCAGGCGGGATCGGTTGTGTTCGCTTGTTCACTGGACCGTATCAGTCGTTCGTTTCACTACTTTCGCGTCTTCCAACTACGTTTAATAAAAAAAAAGAAAACGATTGATTGTTGTTCATAAGACACATTTCTCCGGTCAACGATGTTTTCAAATCCCATTTATAACCTTCCGTCACAATTTAACGAAAATTTACTTTCACAAAACTTATCTGGACTGTCTTTAAATCGTAATCCATCGCACCAAGACCAGTCATCTCCCGAACAGCAACAACAACAACAACAACAACCATCAGCGCAACAGCAGCAGGAACCATCCCAACAAGACCTTCTACAAGACAATCTTGACTTCGATCCCGTAGAATTCGCCCAACAACAACAACAATTAACAAACGATATCGAAGGATTTGTTCCGACAACCTTTGATGACACCAACATCAAATGGGCATCACCCGAAGATATTAATATATCCTACCAACGCGGTTCGCCATTCGTGCGGCAATATAACAACACTATGATCGATGATTATTATAAAAAATTTGTTCGTCCAATTACTGAGTATGTCTCAATCCCAACAACGGGTCAACCAACATATGTTTATCAAAATCTCAGTGGTCAAGAAGCAACTAATGAAACCTTGTCAACCGAACCAGTCATGCCTGAAGGTGAATCAAATTAATTCAATATTTAAAAAAATAATGATTGATCGTTTGAATTTTCTAGGTGCTTTGCCAGGCGATGCGACAGCGTTGTTACTTACAACTCTTTCTCAAACAAATTTAGCTGGAGTGGAAGAAAAAAAACATAAAAAGAAACATAAGAAACGGTCTTCAAAACATGCCCATCATGATACAGAAAAACATATCGATCCTGAAAAGCTCCTGAACGAAAGGTACGATCTCTCTTTTCTATGTCTATTCTCTCATTTGTTTCTCGATCAACTCCCAGTAAACCTGAAATACTCGATGGTTTCGATCTTGCACCACCATTACCAATACCTCCCAATGATAGTCTCGATGCTTCGTATCAGCAACAACAGCAAGTTGCAACTAATCCCCTCTTGAATAAATTGTACGTAACAGATAGGAAAAAAATGCATTATAAATAATTCAACGTTCTTCTTTTGTTGAACAGAGGTGGAACTGGTCCTCAAGTGCCGATGAGAAACGAGTCGAATCCAGTGGTATATTTCGATATAGAAGTCGATGGTGAAGCACGCGGTCGACTTATAATGGAGCTCTTTAGTCATGTTTTACCACGTACAGCGCAAAATTTTCTTTCTCTGTGTTTAAACGAACATGGTTTTGGTTATCGATTGTCCTATTTTCATCGAATCATTCCCGATTTCATGGCACAAGGCGGTGATTTTGAAAAATCGAATGGCACTGGTGGTTATTCAATCTATGGTGAAAAGTTTGAAGATGAAGGTTTCCCTTATCCACACGATCGTATTGGTCTTTTATCCATGGCAAATAGTGGTCCAAATACAAATGGAAGTCAATTTTTTATTACTTTTGTTCCATGTCCACATTTAGATAATAAACATGTTGTATTCGGGCAAGTTTTACAAGGTTTTCATATTCTTAAAGATCTCGAAATGAGTGGATCGGAAAATGGTGACGTTTCGCGAGAAGTCAAAATAGCACATAGTGATCAACTTCAATAATTCCGAAAGGAACATCTGCAGGTTTCGATTATTTACAATTCCAAGCTGTAAAAAGAATTTCATTCGATTTGTTCTTTTTTGTATAGAATACCAGAAGTCTTTCGTAGTTATTAGTGAACAAAGCGTTCTTCTTTTTCTTTTTCTCTTTTTACCTTATACAAATAAAGTCATTCTATTGCTTTTATGAAAACCAATAAAATTCGATAAGAAACATTTCTTTAATCGTGTCTTTTCAGATAAAAATCTGATATTCATTCACATCGAAGTTTGTCTAATAAAAAAAAACATCGCCGTATGTTGTGCATTTCTCATTTTTCAGTACAATTCCTTTCCATTTCAATTGAACATCGTCGTCGACAATGTCATTAGCCATACTCGAGAGATTCAGTCAACTATTCTTGTCATTACTTCTCTTGAGAATTCAATATAACGACAAGCACAAATTTCCATTTTATTTGTACAAGAACGGGAAGAAAAGAAAAGCATACATGTATAAATTAGCATATGACGTCTATTCATCCGGATGTATAAAAAAAGAAGACAAGAAAAAAAAACACACACACACGCACTATCTCTTCTGTCTTAACGATTCATTCCATAAGTCAAACAATTGATTTTGATTTTCACGTTTAAAATTCGTATAATCTTGACTATCGATTGTTTGATAGATATGCTTTAAATTCGTTGTCGATAGCGATGTATCCATCTGACTACTATCGGTTGAATTGGAAAGATTTTCGTGATGATGATATGGACATGTGGTTGAATGAGATTGATAAATTGGATAATGATTAGTAACGTTTCGAGAGTACAACGAGAGATTCTTTACTGTTTTCTTCTTTTGGTTGACTTTATGCAGTTGAAAACATAAATAACAACATAAAAATATTAGTAGAAATGCCAGAATTCCACCAATACATGAGCTGATTAACATCATGTAAAGATTAACATCGTAATTTGTTGTTAAAGTATTTCGATGTTGTTTTTCAAGTATAATTTCATTTGACAGAAGGGCAATCAACTTATCAGTTAAAAACTCTCGACAATATTTATCACGTGCATATTTATGTAATAAAATCAGACAGATGTGATAGTTTCGATTCGATTGGATCTGATTGGATAGAAAGATTTCCGTTTGATTCGAACGAAATTTCGGAGAAAGGTAAAACGGATCGGAAATACTAATTTGAATCGCATACAGAGTGTTATCTTCATCAATTATTGACCATTGAAGAAATAAACCCTTGTCAGACGAGATTTTCGCATAAGATATGTTGAAAAGAACCACGCGAGGAAGCTTCAGTTTGGTCTTGCACTGAAAATCTGATGTAAGGAAAGAGGTGGGTGTTGGAGTGAGACAATTCCATGTGATGGCATTGATTCGTTTGGAAGAGATAGTGAGAGTTTTCAACCATTGCAATTGACAATTGCACTCCAGAGGATTCTGTTCGAGATTAAGCGAAGTTAAGGTTTTAAATAGAGAATTTTCTTCGATTGTACGGATTTGATTGGAGCTTAAGTCTAATGTGGATAAATTTGACGGAGATTCTTTGGAAAATTTCATTTGTTTGATTAAATTCTTGCTGATCGATAGAGAAGTCAAACTTTTCGGTAAATTAACTAAATTGATTGCCAATAATCGATTGGAGTTTAAGTTTAAAGTGCTTAAATTGTCATCTAACATCGCAAAATCGAATGAAGTTAACAAATTTTCGCTTAAATTCAAAGATTTCAAATTGAAATTCTTTTGCAAGTCAATCGATGAGATCATATTCCGTGCCAAGTTTAAATACACGTACGAAGTCGTGAGCGAAATGGAATTGGATATTTGATTACTTTCCAAATCCAATGTTTGAACATTTCGAAGGTTTGGGACAGATGTGATTTGACACGAACGTAGAGAAATGACTTCTAATCGTGTCATGTTAAGTAAAACTCGTTCCAAATTGACTTGACTTAGATCGAAGTGGTCCAGTTTAAGCACACGTAGATTTTTCAATGGATAACGAAGGAGAAATTCCAAAGAATTGATCTGATCATCGCCAGTCAAGATCAGCTCTTCGAGATAATTCCCTAATAAACGTAAAAGATCATTATCGATAAACGAAAGTGAGTTATTTTCTAAATTAATTCTTCGTATGGTTTTAATATGATCGAACGATGATCGTGGTAATGTGTGAATATTATTATTGGATAGAATCAATTCATCGTAAGGAAATGAACGTTTGAACGTTGGAATTTGATCGAGAACTTTTTCTTCACATTTGATATACGATTCTCCATTGGTTAATATCCCACAATGACAACTGGATAAGTAATTATCTGTTAATGGACAGGAGTGACTTGAATTGAAAAGAATAAAGAAGAAAATAAAGAATACAAGCATCTAAAATAGATGAAATTCAAGATAGAGTGAATTTGACTTATCTCTCTTGAGTTTGACCATGTGTCCGATAATTTCAAAGAAAAAGTCGATTATCTCTTTCAATAGTTGATTGATATTCTATTCTCTCTGGGCAGTTGTCGATAGGGCAAGTGAAGAGAATGACAAAAGAAGAATAACAGTTGACTCTCGGACCTTCCGGTTTACTCATCTCATGCAAAGCAGAAGAAGAAGAAGAAGAAGAGAATATGATAAGAATTAATACTCATATGTATACGTATATAATGGTCTGAAAAAACAATCATCGATGATGTAAGCCGTAGTAAATAGGCAAGCGATAGGGGAAAAGTATATACTCATCGCTATTGAATTCCGAGAGCTGTTGATAATATCCAATTGAAGCATGGCGCATGTCTCATCGCTGTCGGCAGTCTAGTTCATTGACCCTAACCCCTAACTGTGTCAAAAAGAGAGAAAAAAAACTAAAAATCGATTGTCACTTCATTTCATCCCGATGATGATGACCACAAAACATTAAGTGGTTTAATAGAATTGAAATGGCAGGAAGTAAAGTTGCCGTCACCCATCACAAATTTCTTCTTCCTAGACATCAACACAACCGGATGACGAACACACACATACATGAAATCATCTTGTCAATATGAATAGTTCATCAATACATATGTATTGCTTGTGTAATCTTTACTTGACACTCCGCCCATTTCGACAAAAGATGAAGAAAAAAGGAAAACTGTACGATGATGTAACAAAATCAATGTAGACGTTGACTGAACAGGAAGAACTACTCTAATGATAGAACAACGAGAAGGAGGAAGAACAACAATAACAAAGAAAAACGATTGCATGACTTACTATAGGAAAAAAAGGATCATCTATTTGTTTTGTACATTGAATGAATAACTAACACTGTCTATAGTTTGTATCTCAAGAGACGCACATAGAGAGAGAGAGAGAGAGAAAGAGAAACACGAGAGCGAGAGACAACTAATCAAATGAATGTTCATTCCTTTTCTTATTCATTTAATTGAAAAATATTAGTGTACCATGAATTAAATATGAATGAGAATGAACAAATGACAATGAGAGTAAAGGAAGAGAGAGAGAGAAAAAAAAAGCTTTAAATGAATTAAGAGCTTGAATCATGCGTGTACGTATGTATGTGTGTGTGTATATACACTCAACTTAAAACATCGATCACTAAAAAGAAAAACGATTATCGGCTTCCCGTGTCGGTCAAAATGGACTGGCGAGCGAGAAAGAAGAAAGGAATCAACACCTGTTAGAAAAAGAAAAAAAAATTAAAAGGTGCGAAGTGGCTGATGGTCGATGCCCTAATCTTCAAATGGCCCTTGTACGCAATTCATTAGAACGATAAGTGGTTTCATTCCAATGTCTGTACGAGACAGGTGAAGCCATTTTTTCTCTCGATCGTTTTGTCTTATCAATCTAATTTTGAACAGGTCGAGCATCTACGAAAAGACTCATCCATATACTACAATATATATATATATGCTAATGTTCGAACCGTGAAATGCTCCGTTATCGATAAGACACAAAGTAAAGAATGAACGTACATATCTATACTACTCATTACGCTACTCAAGCATGCGTGCTCTTCACAAAGGTAACACTCCTACAATTGAATTAGACGCGTCTTCGCTATGGACGATTTGACAAGTATTGTCTGCAGAAAAGACGATGATGATGGTGATGATGATCGAG